ACTGGAGTTACCACATCTGGAATTTTGTGGGTTCCAGGGGCTTAGACTCAGGGTCTCATGCTTCCTCACTGAGCACTTTCCCCACTGAGCCATTCCTGAGGCCACGGGAAGTGACAGAATCTTGATCCATTCAGAATTCAATTCCATGTCAGCTCTAGGAGAAAGATGGCTTGAGGTAGAGTGCTTGCCAGATAACCTGAGTACAATCTCCAGAACTCAAATGTAGAAGAGAAGCGCCTTCCTTCTGCAAGTTATTTTCTGACAACTACACCTGGGTTGTGACCTGTGTAGACTTGCACATGCTCCCACACAATAAATTAACATACACACAGATACACATACACACACATACAAGGAGTCAAGTATGCATGAGATTTGGGGCCTAAGAAACAAAATCATGAGCTGTGTTTGCTGAAATGGGAGTCTTATCATGGATATTTGTCAAGATGAAGGACAAGATGGAAAACTCAGCTTAAGAACATTCGGTCTGAGATCCTATGACATGACTTTTGAAGATGTTGGTCCGAACCCTTCCATATCACCACCAGAACTGGAGGTTTATCACACAGGCTGCTGAATCATTTGTCCTATACATTCAGTCTTACAAATTCTGGACGTGAGACTCTCAATATGCTTCCCTTTAGAAATCAACACTTTCAATCATTTTCAAGCCATCTGCAAATTTTTCTCATTAGCCTCATTAGATGAATGATGATAAGAGTTACCTCTCTTTGGCTTTTGAGTGACAGAAACCCATCTTCAATTATTGAAGAGGCTAATTACTGTTAAGTCAAAATGCTTTTAGAAAGTACAAGTATTTGGATATCAAAAGTGTTTAATGGAAGCTACAGTATGTTACTTGAGAATCCTACTATTTTTTGTTTATTTTTTATTTTTTTAATTTTTTATTAATTACATTTTATTCATATTGTATCCCCCCATAAGCCCCTCCTTCCTCCCCTCCTGATCCCACCCTCCCTCCCCTTTCTGCATGCATGCCACTCCCCAAGTCCACTGATAGGGGAGGTTCTCCTCTCCTTTCTGATCTTAGTCTATCAGTTCTCATCAAAAGTGGATCCTACTATTTTACAATCAGAAGCAACAACTATATTCAGCAATGGTGGAAATCTTTACAGGGTGAATTCCATGATTACAAGGACACACAGCTTGCAAATTTTCAAGTAGACTGTGAAAGGATGCAGCATGTATTTTGAATTCACAATGTGCAGTCAAGAGGAAGTACATTGGATTAACAGTAGCTCAAGCTGGCCTGCTTCTTTAGCCTTCACTTATCCACTCAGCCATCCAGTCATGTACTGCCATGTTGCGGGGCTGGGCTTTGCATGGGGTCTACAAGAATAAGGCACAGAGGACTCTCTATAAAGCTCATGAACTTGAGGGAAAAACAGAGACCATATGAGGAATCAAAAATTGTATATCAGTTCTTTATACCTGCAGCATACAGATGATTCTTCAAGTGATAATCATGGGAGCCTTGCTAAGATTCTTAAATAGGACTGAGAGCTAAACCTCATCAATGCTTAGGATGATTATTCAAAGCTGCCAGTAACAACAACAGAAATAGCTATGAAACATGCCATCTTACTCTATTTTGGTACATGCTTTAAAAATCACTAGCATATTTTTTTTTAAAAAAATACATGTTTCTTATATGCAATTTTAAGATGACTGAAGAATTTATGAAATTTCCCATACAACTTAGAAAACATTTGTTAGCAACATTTATAGAACAATGTGCAGATGTAGGTGAACCACAGATCCAGGAAAAGACAATTTTAAAGAGAGATTTTATTCTGGTGAAATTCCCATCAGACTTCATCTGTACCAGCTCAGGATACCTGACTAGATCAGGGCACCTTACCCAGTCCCCAAGTACAGAACAAAATCACCATGAGTTAAAGGCTGGCATTGAAAGGAACGTGGATATTCTGAGTATGTGGTTGGAAGAGAGGAGAAGGCAGTGTTTTAGACTCTCTGGATGACTGTCCTCTCACCTGTTCTGTCATCTCTTTGAGGGAATCTAAACTTCCTGTCGCTTAGCCTTTTCATCTCTAAAGTGAAGACACAAATAGATTCCAAGTCAGCGTTGCCATGAGAATTGGGAATCAGTAAACGAACAGTGTTATGAACTGTGAGCAGAAATTGCTCACTAAGTGTTAGCTGTTAAGACCATAATTATCATCATCGTTATGCATAAATTTGCCTTTCCATGCTGTCTCTCCATTATAAAGAGGTTTGCTTTATTTAAGATTTTATTTCCTTCACTGCATATTATCAAGATAGTCTTATTAACATGGCTACTCTCTTCCTTTTGTTTCCCCAATTCATTAAGTTCATCACTGATGCTTCTGATATCACCATGTCTTTTTTTTATTTTTACAGTTTTTATTTAGTGTGTGTGTGTGTGTGTACATATGAATGTGCCACATCAAACTGAAAGTTAGAGGACACTTGTCTTGAGAGACTTGGTTCTTTCATGTTATCATGTAGGTTCCAAGAAACTCGGGTCTTCCAGGTTAGAGGAAAGTACTTTTAGCAAACCAGTAATTTTCTTTTCTCTTTCTTTTTTTTCTTTCTTTTTTCTTTTTTTCTTTCTTTCTTTCTTTCTTTCTTTCTTTCTTTCTTTCTTTCTTTCTTTCTTTCTTTCTTTCTTCCTTCCTTCCTTCCTTCCTTCCTTCCTTCCTTCCTTCCTTTCTTTTTCTTTCTTTCTCTTTCTTTCTTTCTCTCTCTCTCTCTCTGTCTCTCTTTCATTATTTATTACAATTTATTCACTTTGTATCCCAGCTGTTGCCTCCTCCATTTCTATCTGACCTTAGCCTACGCAGGGCTGGCTGCACCATCTTCCTGTGTGGCCTGGCAAGGCTGCACACCCCAGGGGGAGGTGATCAAAGAGCTGTCTCATGACAGAGACAGCCTCTGTTCCCCTTACTAGGTAACCACTTGGAAACTGAGCAGCCTATGGGCTTGAATGTCGCTTTGCAATCAGCACTTTTTTAGTGATGCTGGCTTTTAACATGCAAATTATGAGGCATAGTTAAGCCTTAGTAAAACTGAATTATTACCAAGAGAGCCAAATATCTTTACTGAAAAGTTGTAAATACACACCATTTTTCTGTTTAGGGATTTTTCAAAGAACACATCCTTGGTCTTACTATGTGTTATTCATAAGAGACTAGGTCACACTTTCCCTAGTAATTAGCTAAGGATAATGGTAAATCCTCACATTAGTGGGTTGCTTACAAATGGGTGCTATAGAAGGGAATAAATGGCTTTGTTGCTACACTGTTTCTCTGCAGTTCTCATTATGCTAATAAGTTGCTAGCCACACTTCTTCTTTTTATAAATAATGCAAAGATAAACATACAAATTTCTTTTATCAAATGACAGTGGTTAATTAACATCTAAAGTAGTAAGATTACATTTCATGTATATTTTAAATTATAAGTATTATAATATCGCTTGCCTATAATATTCAATCTATATATTACTGGCATTCTTAGTAATTTAGGCAATGAATGCTTTCAAATAGATTTGGACATGGTGATCTGCAAACAAAGTATATCCGTTCATGTGCCAAGCAAGAAAAACAGTTGTTTCTTCGCTACAGAAACTTCTTAAAGCACAGAGATTTATTGAAGTAAATTTAGAAAATAAATTAAGGAATGCACTATGAACAAACAAAAATACCAGTGTGCTGGAGGGATTTAACACCCTTGGGCCATGCTTTTCTTACCTCTAGAATTGAAATCAGAAGGAATGATCATCAAGTATTTGGGACATGGAATTTTCTCAGCCACTTTTAGCTATGATCACAATGACAATAACAAAACAGTTCAAACTAGAGTGGATGTGCTATGAGAAAGTAACGGAATGCAAATGACTGTATTTCTTGATGACTAATTTAATTGTAACATCATCAAAGCTCATGAGCTTAACTGCGAATACAAAGGTAACAAAAATTCAGTTTGGAAGACAATGTTGGCTTGGCATTGCTGGTTAGAATTTTTCCTGTGCATGTAGTGAGAGTTTTGGTTTCTTAAAAAACCCAGTTATGTTATGTAAACATGTTTTTATTTTAATCCAAGTTGTGGGATATGGAGCTGCTTCAGATTGTCCACAGCAGCAGAATATTTGCCTCCTGTGTGCTCTGGCAGGGGTGTAACTTTGTCAGCTGGAGACAACTTAGTTCTAGGGACTCTAGAAAGGGTATAAAAAGACCAGAATCCCAAGAGAGGAGGTATGGCTGCTCCTCCTGCTGCTGTTGTTCCTGGTTTGTCAAGTGATCATGAGAAAAGAGACAATAAGAAGAAATTAGAGATAGTCTGATGAGACAAAGATTGGACTTGCCCCTAGAAACTCAACACCCCTGATCAGCAGGAAGTAGTGAAAAGATCTCAATGGCCCCTCTCCCTACCAACCTTCTGTCTCTCCTACCTGGTGATGGGGTGTTGGAAGGGATTGGAGTGGGGAAAGGTGGTAGATATAAGAGCCCAAATAAAGCAGCAAAACAAACACACCAACATGGGTATCTATTTATGTGCACCACACAGTCTGATTATTATAACCTTTAAATTCATTTTGGAATCTTTTAAATAATGAGAGAAGGAAAGGCTTAGAAACCCAACTCCCAGGTGTTTGTGTCAGCTTCCAGTTATCATGGTTACCCCAAGCTTCAGAGAACTAATAACCCACGATAGTCAACTCAACAAAGCCAATAACACTTAAGAAGAAGACGAAATGGACTTCACACTCACAAGCACATTTCCCAACAGTGTACATTTATGTTCAAATGGAGGGTCTACTTAGAGAGTTAGGGATATTGTGAGGGTAACAATGTGGAGGCCTCCATGGAAGCAGGATTTCATCACTCAGTAGGGTTAATGACTTGAGTTATCCATTCAGGCGATAAAGGGGTCCATCACTGATAATTCAGTCTTTCCCTTCACATTTAAACAGTGGAAAAATGAGAATATACTTACGAGTTTTCTTGGTGGTTGCGTTAACTGTGGCGCTGAAGGGGCCAGCGCCTGCACTGTTGTAAGCCCGGACAGCTGTGTAATATGCCAGGTTGCTCTTCAGGCCTCGGAGCATAGCTGATGTCTGATTTCCTGCCACTTTCACTTTGCTGGATGATTCTTCTTCTCCTCCATTGTTCCAGTACCGCACCTGGTGGACAGCAGACATAAAACATGCAAACAGCTGGACCAAATACTGCTTTTTCCAAAATCCAGTCATTTCATTAACAGGAGCGCCATGATGCATTTTCTTGTTTATGCCACCAAGATTCCCAAGAGACCCACTGTGTGCCAGGTGCTGCACTCAACCTTGTCACAGCTTTTGGTATACAGAAAAAGGAAAATGAAGGAAGCATTAGAAAACAATCATGTAAACAAATGAAGCAGAGACATTAGGGACACCAGTGCAGCTGAGTTCAGGATTTCACGTGGGAAGACAGAGGATAAACCCAGACACCTAACAGCAAGCTATTCCCATTTCCATCCTTTACCAGCCCAGCCGAAGCTCAGCTCTACAGTGCTGGAATGCATTCCTGAAGCACGAAAAAAATCTCCTCAGGTAAGTGGAGATTTCTTCTGGAAAGAAAGTGAAAGGTTAGGGGGAAGATCTGAAAAAACAAACAAACAAACAAACAAAAAAACAACAAAAAAAAAACCAACCAAACAATTGGCCAGTGGAGCACCCTGCAGAGATGATTAAATGTCAACAAGTCTACCTGTGCATGCAGACCTGCAACAAGTAGCAGGAAGTAGCTAAAGCAGCTATTTGAAGTATACACACGTTAAAATAGGTCGCATGAATCTTATTATGCTGTGATATGCTAAAATGCTTTTGGAGTTATTAAACAGGCATATGCATAAATGGCGCAAAGATACAAAAATAAACCAGTGATAAAATTTGGCAGGAAGAGAAGTAATGAATGATAACGTAACAATCGTTTTCTGAGCACTGTGGGGGATCTTCAGTTGGGAAAGTGCTTGCTGCACACACTTGATGACTGCAGTCCAGATCCTCAGCACCATGGCAAGTGCCAGCTATAGTGGCATGCATCTATAATTCCAAATCTAAGGGACACGATGACCCTTGGGGCTTGCAAGCCAGTAGGTACTGGCAATCAGCAAACCCCAGGGTGAGGGACCCTGTCTGAAAAAGTGAGGAGGAAAAGCCATTAAGGAAGATGACAGACATCAACTCTGTTCTCCACAGGCATGCTACACACACACACACACACACACACACACACACACACACACACATATGTACATGAAAACACAAAATAAGTGTACATATGTTTTCTAAATAGTTTCTATTTGTGCTGTAAAATGTTGATTTCTTTGTTCATAAGGCTAGATTTGACATGAAGTAAAAACAAATCAACAATGACAAAATGCAGAAATTAAAACGCTTATGCAAAACACAAACATGTGTTGGGTAGGAATAAGAATAGTTACTAACATTTGATCATTTAATGTAAATAAGAAGGTTAACATAAAGACATAAAGAAAACTTGGCACTTAATAAAAGCATATTTTGTACTTATGTAAATAAATATGCTTGGCCTTCTTCTTTCTGCAGTAGACGACCTTTTATTCTGGCATCCATTCTTTTAAACCTTGATAATAAAACATTACTATGAATATAATTTTTACAACTGTACAACCATCTGTAGTTTGAATATAATATTATCAACTATCAACAGATCTCCACGCTCACAATCCCAAAGACAAAGAACATTCTAAAGAAGGGGCAATCTCTTTAATCATGGGCTGAGCTCTGTCATAACAGGCTGAGATGGTGTTTATATGTTTTATGCTATTTATCTTTTAAAATGCAAAGCAGTTGTATTTCAGTTGGTAGAATGCTTACCAAACAGAGCCCTATATTCAATGCACAGCACTCCTGAAAACTGGGTGAGTTGGCTCATATCTTTAATACCAGCACTCTAGAGCTAGAGGCTGAATCCTTGGCTACATAGCAAATCCAACAGTAGCCTCGGATGGAGATGGTGCATGATGAAAAGTGAAATGTTTAAAGAGCAGAGCTGTAATTATGAGTGAAATTGTCTGATTTTAAAATTCATTGTACAATACCATACAGATCAAACAATGCATGTTGATTGGTTAGACAAGATATTGGTTATAGTTCTCAGAACAGGAAGATATTAGAAGTTATTATATGTTATTTTTTTCAAATGAGCACATACAAATTTATCCATTAAAATAATATCACAATGTAAATCTCAGGGTTTCGTAATAATGTTTCCACAGTATTAAACCACGTTCTGCCCCCTCCCCCTACCCAGTGTAGCATAAGCCCCTCCACTCATACACATGCTCTTTTGAGTTATTTCTATTTCTCTTGCAAAAGAGTTATTTATTTTCACAAGAATCTCATTTTAGGTTTCTGAACCCAAATCTTTAGATCTGAAGTAAATACAATTTTCTTTATAAAGCCACTGATAAGCAAAGTGTTAACAGACACCAAAATCTTTTATAAATATTACACCACCAATACCTAACACTGTATGTACTATAAGGTTTAGATGATCTGCCCTTGAGGACTCTGTACAGCAATTTTCCAAGAATGACATCTAATCAATAATTATAATAAAAACGTTATAGACAGCCAGAAAGCTCGTGGCCTGGGATATAGCACAGGTAGGGAAAATATCACATAAATCTGAGTTATAACACTCCTCACTTAATGGACGACTCAGGAGAGTGATGGAGGAGTTTTGTAACTTAATCAAGATCCTGTTTAACTTCTGTTCTCTTGTTAGTTTCTAATGCATGAGCCATTCTTTTTGTGAGACATCAAATTACTTCCATGTAAGCTGCCTAAAGAAAGTGTTCCTTAGGAGGTTGAAAGAAAAAAAAAAGTGAAAATAATTCATGACCGGCATGCAAAGACTACATTTATAAACACATTTATAGAGAGTAATTGAAAGTTCTTACGAACAATACATATTAAAGTACTATAACCCATCTCTGTGCACTGGAGGAGAGATTTATCTTTGGATCTTAGTTGATGAGAAGTATTAGAAAAATATTTAGACACAGAAAATGTGTGCCAAGTTTGTACATAATAATAGTCAGTGAAGAGCGACAATCTTTTTAGATGGCAGTAAAGAAGTGAAATAGTATAAAAATAGCTAGAACTTAAAACAAGCAATTAGAAATTTCCTATAAACAAATTTTCTGTAAGTATTCCTATATGTTCTGTAACATTTTGCTTAAAACATATTATTCTCCTGGAGAGGACAGAAGCTCCACAAGGAGAGCAACAGAACCAAAAAATCTGAGCACAGGGGTCTTTTCTGATACTGATTCTCCAACCAAGGACCATTGATGGAGATAACCTAGAACCCCTGCACAGATGTTGCCCAGGGACACAGTTCAGTGTCCAAGTGGGTTTCATAGTAATGAGAACAGGGACTGTCTCTGACATGAACTGATTGGTCTGCTCTTTGATCACCTCCCCCCCTGAGGGGGGAACAGCCTTACTAGGCCACAGAGGAAGACAATGCAGCCAGTCCTGATGAGACCTGATAAACTAGGATCAGAAGGAAGGAGAGGAAGACATCCCCTATCAGTTGACTTGGGGAGGGCCATGGGTGGAGAAGGAGGAGGAAGGGTGAGATAGGGAGGGGAAGAGAGAGGTTGCTACAGGGGGATACAAAGTGAATAAACTGTAATTAATACAAATAAAAAATACAAAAAAACATTATTCTCTGGATTTTTGTTTGTTTGTTTGTTTGTTTGTTTATTGTTTGTGCAGTCAGGAATTGGAACCTGGGGTCTTGTACATGTAAGGGGTTATACTGCTGGTCTATATTTGTCTTTGGCCCTCTTCTTATTTTTATTTTTAATTTTGAGGGTCTAATTAAGTTGCTTGAGTTTAAACTCACTATGTAACCCAGGCTGGCTCTGACCTAGTAATCCTCCTCTGTCATCCCCTGAGTTAGCTGTATCAGCAGGCCTAGCTGCTAAATGATTCTGCATTATTCCATCACCTCTAGGTTATTTTCTAGGTTCAAGGAGTAATAGCACCCAAACTGAGATAATAGAATGCCTCTTTGCTAATATATAGTTCACAGGTGCATGCACAAAGTGGGGGCGTGAAGAGAAGGTTGACTACAGTGAGGAAAACACTTTGAAATGTGTGCACAAAAGAGTTGCTACGAAGCTGGAAGAGAGTGAAGGCCGTTGGTATAAAAAAAAGAAACAAAGTCATATGTGTTACAAACCAGAAGCTGTACTGAGAGGCAAAGCTGGATACTAGTGACCCCCCTCGTATAGCAGAATTAAAAATAAAATCAATGGTAAGACTGTAGCTGAAGATGAATGAGGAAGTGTTTATACATTACTCCAGAACATGGGCCAGAGAAACAATAAATGTTATGAAAGTGAGTCTAAGAGACATGGAGGATAGGAGGAGTAGTTCTAACTGGAGTTCTGAATAAGGGAATGGGGGGAAAACGCCATTCACAGGGTGCATGGATAATACTGTACAGAACTGGATGGACACAAGCACTTTCATCTTATAAACTCAGAGTTTACTGTGGGAAAAAATAACGTGGAAAACCACAGGAAAGGAGATTGTGATTAAGAGTGAGCTGTGCCTCTCAGCTACTTTCCATAGCTGGACACCTTGTAAGTTCAGTTTGCCTCCATCCTGGTAGTGATCCATGGTACCTTGGTTTGCTGGAGAAGAGACAGTGTGTGGGTGCATGTGTGTGTGTGCCTGGGGTGTATGTATTTCACTGCTAAGGGCAGTCTCACAGCACAGGCAGTGACTCATCTTTTCTCAGAGCTCTGTTGCTGAGCAAGCACCCGCTGTAAACACAGCCTCATCTTCTACAGTTTTGGTTTTCAGCGAGCCACAAGCTTTCTGCAAGTGCCACAGAGTAAGATATTTTAAGAAAGATGATTTTTTTTAATAACTGTTTTTAGAGCATGCTGCCATGTGTTCTATTAGCTATTGGTAATCTCTTATGTATATCATTTATGAAACAAACTTTATTATCCATGGTTTCAGAATTCCCCCTCGCCCCCAGAAACTTGGCTAACACAACATTGCTGAATTGTGAGATGATTTGGACCAACACCATTTAAGAATATGTAACAGCACTTAAGAATATGTCATCCCTC